CAGGAGAGGTCTGCAGCGCCATGTGGATCTCCTCCGGGGCAGTCGGGAATAGAACTCATGCGGAAGTGGCTTTAGCTTCTCAGTGCTGTGCTTTAACCCGCTGTGCCACCAGGGAGGGCCCTTGGTTTACTTTTTAAATGAACTGCTGTCAGTGCTCTCCTGCCCAAAAGTCAGTTCACAGCCTCCACAGGACAGCCTTTAGAGGGCAAGTACAAATGTTCTAGCTCTTCATGAAGATTAACAAAAAGCTTTAGCTCAGTGGATAACTTTCACTTTTTCCACCTGTCAGAAACACAACCTGGACTCAACTATTCTTTTATAAACCACTGAATTTCCTATAATTGTATCCATACATGGACATTTTTTGAAAGAAAGTTGTAAGTTCTCTGTCAACCAGTTATGTTTAAGTATGTATATGGATGTATGTTAAATGTGGGACTTTTCTACCTCGGGATGGTGATCTTAAAACCTAACTTGCCAAAGAGAGCTATTTAAAGAGAGTGCTTTCTTAAAAAGAAAGCCAAGGACTGTGACGAATACTTGACTTAGCTTCCTCTTCAGTTGGTAAAATGGGAAAAGCTCAGAAGTTATCCCATTCGCAAAAAAGAAAGGCGTCAGCAGGCATCCATTTGATTGGGGGAGGCGGAAGCTTTGCTGCTTCTCCTGGGCAGGAGAAGAAAGATCTAAATTAAAGAAAGGCGGTGGGGGTAGATGGGAGTTTTAGCTCATAGACAACAGTGGTTCTTAGTTCACCATGAACAAATACAAGGGTTGGGGATGAGCAGAAAATGGCCCAGTGGAAGTTTTCCTGAACAGTCAGCATAACAAATATGGCGCAAGAAAACAAAGAGATTTGGCAGTCAGAGCCATGAAACAGGTGCTAGAGAAACACTAAGTGATGTAGGACATCTGGAGGATGGAGCAAACAAGAGCCAATCCAGTTTTCAATATAATGTTGAACTGACATAGACTCACTAGGGGCAAGAACAAAACAGTGGAACAAGAGGCTGGCTTCTGTATTTCTAGAGTTTGCAACCAGTTTTCAGAGATCACTCAGAGACTAAAGACATTTCTGATGGTAAAGTTAGAACAAAGATAAAACCACAATAAAAACTTAAGGATAGGTTGAAGCAATGAGTCATTGTCAAAGTGAATTCCATTTTAATAGACAGTTAAGACAACCCCCCAAATGCCAGTGTGACAGTCTATTTTTAATAAAATTCTTTTGTTTAATATGGAGAAAGAAAAAGTAGCATTTTATGATTTAGTCAACTACACAAGATATATATTTATTTCCAAGGATTTCTGAAATTAGGTATTTTTAAATGTCTCTAATCACCCCCAGAATATAGTACTTATACTAGCCGAATTGATGCAATAATTCCTCTCAGAAGATAATAACAGATTGTAAAACAGATTACAGATTGCAACCAACTGGCTAAGAACAAACAAAAAAAACTAAAGAGCTTGAACCTTCATAATAATTTATAGAATTCTATTTAACTTAATAAATAAGAAAAACTGATTTTGGATAAGGCATTGCTTTATCATTTCTCAGAATAAGGCACACATCACTAGCATTTCCAATCACAAATATATGGGCAGCAGATGCTACAACAAAAAGCAGTTACCTCTGGCCCACTGACTTTTACATCAAAGTCACATTAAACTGCACACATGTAAAGTTTACAGTCATTAAGTGCTTCTCTAATAAAGGTTACTCATTTTAACAGAAGATCAATCTGAACAAAGGAAAAAGCAAATAACCAAAAGCCATTCTATTTTGAAAAAAAATTTGTTTCCAAGTACTAAGCAAATTAAAAAGTATCTATATATGGCTTACATAATATCTTAAGATAATGTACAAACAAGCTAACAACAATTAAAACCATTTTAATGGCACATTTAAAATGACACTACTGGTAAGGCCTTTTTTATGTGAATTCAAACCTACAGTTATGATGAGCCAAGTATCAATATTTTATAATTGTTAAAACACTAACACTTGATACTCTAGGACAAAGATACTGGAAAAAAAAATACTTCGGTGAGATATTACTGTAGCTAACAAATCACTATTATTTCCTAAAATGATAGTCTATAAGACAATAACCTAGATCTAATGCTACTGTCTTTTATGAATATTATGATTTTTCACAAATGCTCTGAAGCAGATTCTGCCAGTAATCACTAAAGCATGCTAGTATTCACTGTAACTCCTACTCAAGACCTCTTTTATTTTGGCATTTTCACGATTTCAATGTCTGAGGAAAATGTGGATTTGAACATAATGCTAATTTTCCTCAAACTAGTCACCTTAAAATTTGGTTGCTTTTAATCAGTAAATGGGCTGCTTTAAAGGTGTATTTTCAGAACACTTTATTAGATATTAATCTCCAGTTATTAGTAAAGCCAGATAAACAACAAACACACAGCACAGAATAGGTGAAGGCCTAATACTGCACTAGAGCATTACAGAACAGAGTGGAGTTATAACAAACACAGTTCTTAAAAATTGTACATGCCTCCCAAGCAAAAGGATTCAGGAATCATAATTATTTTTCTTAATAAATTGGGCACCAGCTACCCTTAATTATCATTGTCTGAAGCGTTTGCTTCTCTAAGACAGTCACATTGTTACCTCAGATATCAATAAGAATTCCATGTTTTGAAGACATCACTTGTCTGGTCCCTGTTAAATACATAACAAATGAACAGATGTGAGGTAAAGAAGAAGTCATGGTCACATAAAGCCAGAATGGCAACGGGGAGGTTTTTCCAAAGGGACAGATCCACAAGCCATGGCGAACTCCATCTCGGATATGGTGTGAGGTCCAGGATATAAATAACATCCAGGGGAGAAAGCACCATGAGTCCTTGAGCTTGAACAGGTGCATAGTAAACTTCATGCTCAGAGCCACGACAGGTATCACTGTAGAACAGTGAAGGAAAGGTCTTCGGGGAAGCGTCAAAGCAGCCTGAGGAGAGAAGGAGCAGCTAGCATCATTTACTTCTCAGCAAAACAAATTTTACAGATATTTCTTAATATTGTAAAGTAGTTTCCAGTGGTCTGTTGAGGATGCAAGGAAAGTATATTCTGTGCCACCTTCAATGCATGCATTAGATAATTTGTGTAGGGTCTCTTTGTGGCGCAAGGAGTTAAGTCTCAGCATTTTGAATGCTATCAGCAGTCACTGCTACATGAATTCGATACCCAGTGGGTCAGAGAGCTGACCCATATGGCACAGCAGACCTCTCCTGCCTTGCCTGCTGTTGCCCTCAGCACTGTTTTTTTTTTTTTTTAAAGATTTATTTATTTATTCATACAGAACTGGGGTACAGGCCAGAGATGCAGAGGGTGAGAGGATTCCCCAGAGACAAGAGCGGGGAGCAGAGCAGGCAGATCGAAGTCCACTGCTGAGGGGAGCAGTGGGCGGGTCAGGAGAGGTCTGCCACGCCATGTGGTCACCTCCGGGGCAGGCGGGAATCGAACTCATGCGGAAGCGGCTTTAGATTCTCAGTGCTGTGCTTTAACCCGCTGCGCCACCAGGGAGGGCCCCCTCAGCACTGTTTTTTAATGGATCTGCCTGTTCTGCTCCCTAGTCAGTCTCTGGTGAATCCTTTCACCTCCTGCACACCTATGGGACTTCAGCCCAGCTCTTGTATGCATAAATAAAATAAATCTTAAAATAAATCTTTTGTATAAGCCAGAGTAGGACATTCTCTGCATTAAGTGAAATCAAAGCCTCAAGTATTATTATTCCATGTTACGCTCATCTTTGTTTTAACACCTCCACCCACAATGCTTGATCTTTTAAGTAGCAGAGTGGGATGAGGGAGTATATGGTCATCTGTGCTTGGGAAAAGCACTAGCCTGCTGTTGAGGTGACCAGCATTTATGCTCTGGATCTGGCTGAGTTATTGAGTCTTCACTCTTTTATCTGTGGTGTCCATTTACTAGAGGCTAAAAAACAAACAAGAGGTTCCTGTTTTATTTCTAAAATATCAATGCAGAATTCACTCAGAAAAATAATGAATAGTGAAAGAAAAGGACATGGTCATAAAATAGGAAGTAAAACAGATAACTAAACATAAGTATCATCAATTCTTATTTGGTTTTGATAATTACTGATGATCACATACAATCTTATGCTAACTGAAAAATGTTTGATGCTTCATTCAATAAAGAGGATTATGCTTTATATGCACTACGTCGTTTAACCCTCACACAATCTTATGAAGCAAGGGTCACTTATCAAAGGAGGAATCAAGACCTAGAGAGGTGAAGCCACTCTACTCATGTCATGCAATCATTAAGTGGCAGAGCTGAGATTTTATCCTAGGTCTGATTTTATGGTTGATTTCTTAAGACTACTGTTTCTAAATGAATCAAAGTACTCAGTTAAATGTATTTAAAAATCAGAACAGAAGAGTTAAATTCTAGGCGATTGCATTTATTAACTACACTTTATAGTAGTTCATAGCTTATCCCAGTCCCTGCTAACATTTATTGTTAACTGTCAGGATGCGTCACCTAGCATACTCATTTAGTCCTCACAATAGTAACATAAGTTATAAATGAAGAAAATGAGATTTAAAGAAGAAAATCACTCTGCTAATACCACATACTAGGACTTAAACTCGGGATTTCTGATTCCAATGTAATGGAATCGATGTAATGACAGCAATGTTGTGCTGTCTCTATTTACAACAAAAAACTAAAAATTTACCTTTTGTCGGAATCAGAATTCCTTACTAACAAGTTTCTATATAAGTGAGACTACTTCTGAGAAATACCTGGTGCTGTACTTGACATGTAACAGGAGTGACAACTTAGTTTGCTGAACAAATATTTACTGAATGTCTACTGAATGAACCAGGTACTGTTTTCGGCGAGTGATGAACAAAGCAATGTCCTTGTTCTATGTGACTGTATTTCTTTCCTGAAATGTGTCTAGCTTATAAACATGGAGGCAGGCAAATCTCTTGACATGTAGTACAATCTGAACCAGCACGGTAAGCTTAGATCATTTGCAAAGCTAACAATCATATAGTTGAACCTCTGAAGTCTCATTTGTTTTCACCAGAAACTGTCCTAATAAGCCCACAGAAATTGTGTGCCTCTGGCTCCAAAAGGAACTAAGGAAATAAGTCCATTGAAGTCATCCCCCAGGATGGGAAATCATCTCAACACTTTCAACTATGATGGAGCATTAGGAATGGCATACTAACTATAAAATGTAAAGACCAAAGGGAAACACCTATGTGTGGTCCTGAAGAAAGAATATCAATACAAAAAGAATCAGAAGAGCCTGATTCCAAAAAGGAATCAGAATGACTCCTGTTATGTCAGAGCAGCTAGCTAATCGTTAAGACTTGGCTACATACATCCTCAGAAGAGCCAGTATGAGAGTCCTTTCTGTGTCCATGGCACTTGGTGATAGCAAATAACTAGCAACAGCTTTGTGTACATCTTTACCTAAGTAGTAAGTACTCAAGAGTTCAATGCATGGGCTTTCTTATTTTAAAATAAGGCCAGTCCTCTAAGGTTATGGTAGGAAGACCAATATGATGGTGCTAAAGAAATTAAAAGACCAGAAAAATTCAACATTGGTATTTCATACCTTTAAAGATAGGGATCCAGCTAGAAAAAAGTGGTCTACATCAATAACAGAGGCTAGAAAGCCAGCCAGAATGACTTCTCCAAGATCAGTCTTCTTCCGGATGCCAATGACGACAGCCCATGACCACATGCCAATGACACAATGCACTGCGTTGTCTGAGAGGGCGCGGAGCCAGTCGTTCTGCTGAATTATGGAAAACTGCAGAAGTCTGTCAGCGACTACGCAAAATACCCCCAGACCGAGGCTGGAAATAAGCGATTCCGTGCTGCAAGACTGGAGTAAGGCGCGGGTCTTCTCAGTTTCAGATTCCATCATAAGCGATATATCAGTATATGCTAAAACCCATCAAGAACAGGAGCATATACTTGTTTACATTCCCAGTCACCCTGGAATAAAAAGAGAAGTATTAATGGTGACTATAGGCTGTTATACAATATTTAAACAAGACAATATCAGCAATAATTTCACATTTATAAATTTCACATTTGTAAAAACTGGTGTTTCCTCTAACTATTTAGGCAGTAGTTTTTTTTTTTCTTCCAGCTTTACTGGCATATAATTGACATATAGCACGATGTGTGTTTAAGGTACATAGTGTGATGACTTGAGATACATACATACAAAGATTAGTGCAGTGAGGTTAGTTCATACATCCATTACCTCACCTTGTGTGTGTGTTTGGGAGGCAAAGAAAGATTATTTAAGAACCACTCTTTCAGCAACTTTCAAGTATAAAAGCCTGGCATTTCTTACATGTTATATGTAGTGTGCCACATGGCCCAGAGTATTGATGGCAACTTAAGGAAGCCCACTAGTTGACGTCAATCATCTGGAGCTCATCAAATAATTTCTCCTTTGGAAAAACTGCTTATCACAATATCCAAACCCTGAGCTAACTAATGAAAATTCCCTGACTTTTCTTTTTATTACTGTGGTTAACAATTAATTGGAATCCATTTTTCCAGTCATGATGAGACTAGTGATGAAGATGACCTCAGTTGAGTCAATCAGATTCCTTTCCAGAATTTTCCTAAGTGGGGCTGGTAGGAAAACATTTTTCTCCTTATAGACCATGGGCTCTGCTACAAGAACAGCCTGCGGGAAAAAAAAGATGAAGATATCTAGTTTCTAAAGTTCTCAGGCTCTGGGGGGCCCTACACAAGGCACTCACCCTTCACTTCTAGAAGCTATCCCAGCAGCTTGCCAGTCAATTCCTTTTTCTTTCTGTTGCCTCTAAACAGTGAACCTGAATTGGTAATAAAAAAGTAATGATAAATCTGTGCTTAGTACTAAGCTGGCACAGAATATAGAAATCATTTACCCTGGGGTCCTCCCTGGTGGCACAAGGGATTAAAGCACAGCATTCTGAAGCTACTCGAAGTCATTACAGTAGGATTTGATCCCCGGCCAGGGAGATGATCCACATGGTGTGGCAGGTCTCTCCTGCCTCACCTACTGCTCTTCTCAGCAGTGTACTTGTCAGTCTGCCTGTTCTGCCCCCCACTCTATATCTGGTGAATTCCTCACCCCCTGCACTTCTGGCCTGTACCCTAGTTCTTGTATGCATAAATCAATAAAATCTTTAAAAAAAATCATTTACCCAGTTAAAGTTATTGCTATTGTTGTACCTGAAGTTTTTACTTTACATTGCTTTATAAAGTCCAGAAACAGGTCAAAGGCAGACATGGGGACAAGGGGAATGTACATGAAACTCCAGATGGGTAGAGAAACAGACCCTGTATCAGTAAGGGTTCAGCGTATTATGAGTATAAGCCCCAAAAAAAATTTGTTAAAAAGATACTGGGAAATGAGTCTTGCCGGGTTTCAAGAACCAGGCTTCAAAGCTATGCCTCAAGAGCCACAGAGAAATGAAGACAGAAACTGGTCTGCTGACGACCTGCTTGCCACTAGGCCCAGACACTACCCAACCCCTGCCACCAGGGAACACCACCAGCACCAAGACAGTCCTCCTCACCTCCTGCTGCAACAAGAGGTTCTTGTCAATATGTCTATTTGCTTTCAATACAAAATTGGGAAGCAGATCTATATGGGTTAGGTCTAGGTCACAAGCCCACGCCTCAGCTGCCACGGGGCTCAGAAAAGATATTAACTGTTCTCAGCATTTTAGATGCTAGGATCTTTCTTCCTTCAAAAGTACCTTACTGGTGAGGTAGTTTTCACTCTTTCAAGCTTCTAAGTTTTGGGGAAATCTGCTGTGCAGTAATATAACTCAAACAGTATTGTTTCTATTGTTATGAAAGGTGTAACTATGGTCCTGCAAACTAATAATTTTGACTTTTATCCCATTCTAACTATTGGTGCAGGTATTTTTTGAGAAACTTAATAAATATAAGTCTTGGCATTTCTGACCAAGACTTCTAAGTATCTTTGTTTTCTTTCTTACACTTTTCCACGTCCTGCTCCTCCCCATACAAACAGAATGGGTTTCTGAACATCCCAAACTACAAAATAGCTTTATTTTCCATGAGTACCTTGAGAGTGGGCTCCTTCAGCATAACTACAATTTTCTTGCAAACCTTATGTACATAAATCCTGAAGTGCTCAAGGTGTTCAATAAGTATTTCATTAAACTAGTACAAGAAGTAATCCTCAGTCTATGAACTAAAGATGTTATTTCTAATGACTTCTTTGCATAAGCCAGTTACTCAGATGGTAAATATCTATCCCTTTTCTCTCTGTCACATCCCATCCCCTAATAGTAAAATGCTACCACTGAAGGGCATGCAAAAAAACCCACAGTAGGAATCTTTCCTTTCCATAGCTCCACAAACACATGGGGATTTCGATTATATACTATTGTGCAGTGTTTAATAATAATTTCTTAAGACATTATTTCTGCCAAAATTAAAACAAGTTTCCAGTGTAAATGTCACCTGTGCTTTCCACTCTGCCCTATTCACAAATATCTCCAAAAACCTGAGTGCAATTTAAAACTCTGCTTTTTGTGTGCTGTATAAATAAATTCACTAGGGCCCTCCCTGGTGGTACAAAGGGTTAAAGCGCAGTACTATGAAGCTGGCTGCAGCCACTGCAGCATAAGTCAGATCCCTAGCTCTGGAGGTGATCCACATGGCTCAGCAGACCTCTCCTGACCCACGCGCCCGCTGCTCCCCTCAGCAGTGTATTTTTTCTATCTGCCTGTTCTGCTCCCCACTCTGTCTCTGGTGAATCCTCTCACCCCGGCACCTCTGGCCTGTAGCCCAGTTCTGTATGCATAAATAAATGAATCTTTAAAAATTCACTAAACTGTAATCAATGCGAAAGTAATTTTTAAGTTTTAACACTAAAGCAAATGCCAAATTTAATGCAGCTCACTTGCAAAAGGAAACAAGTCCCCCTCTCTTTTACGTAAACCTTTTATGATCGGCACGAGTTATTTAATTCCTATTACTATTACGAATACACAATTCAGAATTTCAACGTATTTAAAATCTCAGTAAATTCCCTAAGTCATTCTTTCCTAAGGTGGGCGATATGCAATAGTTCTTTAAAGGTCGATTAAAATAGAAGAGCACGAAGGCCCAGAGTCTGCAGGGGAAGAACCTCCAGGCATCCAGGGCACTTAGGGTTGTCAAGCCCACCAGGAGGGCAATGGATTCCTAGGGCGGCCCCCAAGACACCTTGTCTGAATCAGAAATGCCAGCGGCGCGGACACTGCGTGAGAGCTGAGTGCCTGGATCTCGGGGACCCGGGTCAAGCGCACCCGGCTTTTCTCGGGTCCCGCGTGCCTGCCGCCCCTGCAGGCCCTCCTCATATGGAACCTGGATCTTCGACTTCAGGCTCAAGTGGTCCCAGCCTCGGGCCTCCCGCCTCAGGTCGCAGCCTTGCGGGGTCCATCCCGAACCCCTCCAGCCCGGATATTCGCAAGTCAGCCACACCCACCCTATCCCTTCCCGGAAGTTTGCGGTTAAGGGAGGCCCCGCCCCTCGCCGCCACCTCGGCCGGCACCATAGAGATGCCAGCCGCTGGCTAGAGCGGCTCCAGTGCCCGCGCTGGGCGTCGGGATATTGGCCCACGCTGAGTTGACTGGAACCGGTACTTAAGTGTTCTTTGATGGAGGTAGTCGACATCCGGAGTTCTCCCTCACCCTACCCTAAAAAGGAGACCTTCGGGGTGATGGGGTGAGAAGTGAAAAGTGCCTGTTTTCTTTCTTTCAAGCCTCAGGACTCATTCTCGCTCAGCCGGAGCGGGATCACAGACAGACCCACAACACAGCCAAGTGGCGGGCTCACCGAATGTCGGGCCACAGGCCTTAGGCCCAGACGCGTCTTCTGGGTCCCTAAGATGTAGCTATTTCCGATCTCTTCTGTAGGTTCTCCTATTTCGCCAGACCCGGGGCCGTGCGAGCTTGCAGACCCGACGCTCCTCCGCGGCACTTGACTGCCCCCTTGCGGATTTTTTGTTGATTGTTCTTCCCACAGGTGGACTTTGGGGGGCTGCTCTTTCCGTGGACAGCGCTGATGAACATTGGCTGGAATATTTAATAAGCATTAAGTGCTCGATCGGAACAGCGACTACATAACGGGTAGCTTGATCTAATTGGACTGAGAAGCTGCAGTTTACTGGCTCTGAGCTAGGTCTGGTCTAGTCTCCCTGCCTCAGTGGTGGGTGCTCACTTAGCAGCAAGGAAAACATTTACCTTGATGTTTGGCTCTAGGAAGTACTGACGAGAAAACGGAGGCTCAAAAGGATGCATTCTTCCTTTCTCCCCGTAGCTTCTCATCAAAACAAATGCCAGATGGAAAACAAGGACAGCCGTGAGATTATGTTGAATGAGATGATAGAAAAAGTGTCATCTTCTCATTCTCAGGCCTCTCACGGAGCTTTAAAGTCATTGTAGTTTCTCGATTGCTGTCACATTCTTGACTCAAGTGGGGGAGAAAATTTTACATAATTTAAGTGCTAATTAAAATAACTCGTCACTGAATACACTACCCACAATATTTGTTACTTTTAGTCATGTTAAAGGCGATTTTTCTTTTTTTAAAATGCAGTAACAACTTAGCAAGAGCTAGTGAGTGGCAACTTTCCTGCAACTAAAACAGGATTTTGCCTGTGTAGCCAGTCTGGAAGCAGTTATTGCCTGTGTTAAATTTTTTAAGATCCAGTTCTCATCTTTTAAGATCCAGTTCTCATCTCCTAGTTGTACTGGTAAATACTTGGGACTAGAGAGACTAAATAGCAAATGACAATATACATTTCTGCATATTAAAAAAAAAAAAAGTAGGGTTTCCTTGGTGGTATAATGGGTTGAGTTTCAGCACTATGAAGCAATCTACAACAACTATAGCAAGAGATCGCTCCCCAGCCAGGGAGCTATCCCTCTTGGTACAGCAGACTACTTCTGTCTCAGCTGCTGCTCCCCTCAGCAGTGTATTTCAGTAGATCTGTCTGTTCTGCTTCCCATTCTGTCTCTGGTGAATTCTGCCACAGCTCCCCACCCCACCTCAGGCCTATACCCAGATCTTGTATGCATAAATAAATAAATCTTAAAAAAAAAAACACTTGGCCCTCCCTGGTGGCGCAGCGGGTTAAAGTACTGCACTGAGAAACTAAAGCCACTTCCTCATGAGTTCGATTCCCGCCTGCCCCGGAGGTGACCACATGGCGTGGCAGACCTCTCCTGACCCACCCGCTGCTCCCCTCAGCAGTGTACTTGTCAATCTGCCTGTTCTGCTCCCCGCTCTGTGTGTGGTGAATCCTCACCCTCCGCATCTCTGGCCTGTACCCCAGTTCTGTATGAATAAATAAATCTTAAAAAAAAAACAAAACACTTGAAGCTTAAGTGTAGAATATGAAATAGAGTAACAACTATAAATTTGTAAATTTTTATTATAACTGAAACGTCAAAAATGTTAAATAGTTATTAAGTTTATTACAAATATACATTACAAAATATACAAGTTAGATAAGTTAAATTAGTTATTTGATACTCTTTGTACAGAAACGTATATGATTTCCTAGCTTGCTAGTAATTTTATACCAGTCACTTGAGACATCATTCTTAAGGTTTAGTAGTACATTGTAATAATTCCACTTTTCACTTTTTAGATTTTGATAGAAGACAGTCAATATCTTGAAGAATTTCAGAGGTTTTTTTCAGTGCCACTGACACACTCTTTTTATTATCTTCTAGCAAAATATCTGAAGGTTTCAGTTTATCATGATCAGGAGACTGTTCATTCTTCTTGTCAGAAGTCTTGCTTAAGATACCACTGTCCTCTAATAACACTAAGTAACTGTTAAGGAGGTTTCTCTATTTTTCATTATATAAGTATTTTTAATTCAGAAATTGGCCTTCATGTTAAAATATACCTATTGGGAGGATGATCCTTCACTTAGAGGAAGTTCTGAGTTGGGGTTTCTGAACTTATCAAGTTTATCCTCAGAGATGAAAAAACTAGTTTGAGTATAGAAGATTTAAGGACTTGACTGTACCATCTGAAGCCATAAAACTCCTAAAACAAAACAGGGGATAAGTTCCTTGATATTAAGACTTAGTGATGAATTTTTAGATTTGGCAAAGGGGACAAAAATAAAACTAAAAAAATGGGACTACATCAAACTGGAAAAGCTTCTGCAGAATAAAAGATTATCTTAAACAAATGAAAAGGTAACTTATGGAATGACAGCAAATATTTGCAAATTATATATCTGATTATCTATCACATGCATTTAATATCCTAATATATAAACAATTCAGTAACATATATATATGTATATATATATATATATATTCAATTCAGTAGCAAAAGAAAAAATATCCATTTTAATATGGGCAGAGAAAATAGTTAACAGGCACATAAATGGCGAAAAGGTACCCACACAAACAATCAATAATCATCAAATACATCTCAAAATCACAAGATATCACCCCATACCTGTTAGAGTGGGTATCATAAAAAAGAAAAGAGAACAAGTATTAGTGAATACGTGTGTGTGGGGGGGGGGGGGAGAAGAACCACTGTATGCTTTGGGGGAAATGTAAACTGGGACAACCACTATGGAAAGCAGTATGGAAGTTCCTCAAAAAAGTAAAAATAACTATCATGTGATTCGGTACTCCCACTTTTGGATACGTATCCAAAAGAAACGAAAAGTCCTGATGTCTGTATTCCCATGTTCATTGCAGCTTTATTCACAATCAACATATGGAAACAACTTAAGTGCCCATGAATGGATGAATGCATAAAGATGTGGTGTACATATACCAATAGAATTATAATCACAAGAAAGAAGGAAAACTGACATTTGCAACAACACAGATAAGCCCTAAAGCCATCAGGCTAAGGGAATGAGCCAGACAGAGGAAGACAAATGCTACGTGATGTCACAACTTAAATAATTCAGACACAGAGAATTGAATGTTGCTTGTCTGGAGCTGGAGGATTGGGATAGTAGTGACAGATTGGTAAAAGATATAAATTTTTGGCTAGAAGATGAGTAAGAACTGAGGATCTAATGTATGACATGGTAACTATAGTTAATAACATTGTACAGTTGAAGTTTGCTGGGAGGGTGGAACTCAAGAGGGTTTTCATTTAAAAAAAAAAAGAAGAGAAAGAAGGGGTAAAGTGGGCATGAAGCTAATGGCGGAGACAGGGTAATCCTTTCATAGTGGGTAATGTGTGTGTGGTCACCCTGATGTACACTTTAAATATCTGAAATTTTGTCAATTGTATCTCAAAGCTGATATTAAAAAAAAAACAAAACAAAGATGGGCTCAGATTAGGAGTGGTTTGGTAGAGGAGGAGAAAACAAATATTGTGAAGAAAATGGAATGTATGAATGTATATAATATTTTACCTAAAAGGAATGATGTATGGCACATATAAAAATCCAGCAGATATTTGTTAAAAGTAAGTGAAGATAAAAAAAAAAGTCACAGACAGGTCTCAGTATAATTTAGAATATAATTATATCAGTGCAAAGGTTCCATGTGACATCTTAACCTTAACTCCCAGCTCATTACAGATTTAAACCCAGTGAAAAGTACATGATATACCTTTTATAGTGTAATTTTAAATTACACTCTTAAATAATATCCAATACAGACCCTCATATGTAAGTAAGGATTAATACAAAGTACAGTCATGAATTAAAAAAGGAAAAAGAAGTTAAGTATGCAGGACAATACATTTATGTAAAGGATACAGTTAAACTTCTTTATCTTTTCAAGTTCAGAATCTATAGACCTGTGGAGGTGAAAAAAGTTCATTGTAGTGATCAGATTCCTTTATAGTCATAATATTTAAATAAGCATATTTGATATTTTTATGAATATCAGCATTTGAGAGAAATCTGAAAGAATTTTCTTTATATATGGGCTTTATTTAGCAATAAATCAACCTGATTTAACTGATACATACTGAGGCAAATGAATATATGTTCCATCTCAAGTACTTTTGAATCAGCAAGTACTGATATTTGAAGGCGCTGGAACTGAATGGTACAGCTTCTTAGCACTACCTTGGCACACACTCCTCCAAGTTTACTTAAACTTTAAAGGCCCACTAAAATTCCATCACTGCCCAAAACATAGTAATTATTTTCTATTAAATTCCTTCTGGAATAGGCTACATACTTATTTCATCATTTTCTTAAGCACAGCATACTGAACTTTCTTCATGATTTGAAGAGTTAATATGAACATTACTATGTTCCACAGACTAGATATTAGGGCAACTCATAGGGTAAGGGGCGCCAGTAGAACCTCGTGTGTGTAATTCCTCCTTTTCGTCATCAGATTAAAATAAAATGCATGCAAAGGTACACAGAAAATAGGATAACTCAACAAGGTAGGTGTCTGAAAAATTAATGAGGACATAAATGTCTAAAACATCTCCTAATTCAAGTCACTAGAAAAGTTGTCTTTACAGTTCATCAAAGCATATGTGACCATTTCAACTTCGATGGAGCACAGGCACCTCTGTGCACTTACACCCATTGCTTTTAGTCTAGAATAAAAGACACTTCATCACTTAAAGTATCTGTGGATATGACTTACTCCAGAGCCAAGACACATCTTTTCAGATATAAGCCAAGCTACAAACGACCTTTAAAGCTGTCACTCATCAGGTGAAACAACTTACGAACTATTCTTCCATACTAGCTTTTGACTGGCATCCCTATTTCCAAGCTGCATCAGTAAGTTAACAATAGAAGGCAATTTGGAGGAAAAATAACCAAATACAACGTAGATAGCTCTGGTGCACAATGAACCTACTTTCTTTGATAAGAAAACAAGTCACACTGGAGATGTCTTAGGTTCCACACTGGAAATGAAGCGACTGCATGGCAGGGTCTGCCTCCCTCCACCCCTTCACTCCCTTGGTCTCTCTCTGCTCCTTGCTGCTTCCACCCACCGCTGCTATCACCAACCTGCACTTCTCCCGCACCCTCATTTTTTAGAGCAGCTTGAGTTATACGCCTCTAGGCTTTCATATTAAAAGGCTAGCATTTTATAAACTTTGCCAGGTAAGCAGTGAAGTGACTGATTTTATTTATAGCTAAGTACAATTTTCCTTTTTTCTCAATGATGTTTTTTACTAGCCATCTGCAACTTTCTACTCCCAAATAGGCTGCAGTTGAACAATGAGGTAGATGAAAAGATGATCACTTAATATAACTGAGATGTTTACATAAAATCAACGGATTCGATTTGTGCTTCTTTCTCCAAGTAATTTAAGAAAAGGTAAAAGAATCAGGATTAGTGTTTAATGTTCATACTTTTCCACAACACTATTTTCAAAGATATCTTACAACTTACTTTAAACCATCTGAACTCCTCTATTGGCTACAAGCTCCATTCCTTTGGTCAAACTTTATACTGTGCCCTCACCGTTTTTATGGCGCGGACACCATCTCTCTCTTCATTATCTCCATGGGCCAAAATAGCCTTTTTTTTTAATTTCTGTCCTTGTTTCTTTCCTAAATGTCTTATTTGCTCAAGTATTTTTTTGAAGTTCAGATCAGATCTAGCCTCTTTTACACAAAGGGGTACATAAGAAATACTAAAATACTTGCTTTATTTATTTGCCAATTAATTTTGGGAAGGTAATTCATAGGACAGGAATTATTTAAAAGTCAACTTTTTCTGAGGGTATTATGGTAACTAACATTTTATTTTCTTCACTATTTATAAAATTTAAAACAAAAATCACCTTTTCCCATAAAGTTTTTAGAGTGAATTTATCACATTAAAAAGTCACCAATTTTGATGTCAAATGTTCAGTGCAGCTTTCTGAACTTCAGATGTAAAGTATGTAATTTGTTGAAATGTGTTAATTTAGATATTTGATTAAAGAAATTATTTTTAAGCTTAAGTTATCAAAAGCTAAAAGAAAATGCTCTTAGGGAAAAATCTTTCGAGTTTACCATCTAACATTTTACTGTTTGAGTATTAGTTGGTCTTCTATACAGATTAAATTTAAAACAAACATATATATACCAGTTTTCTTCAAGAACAGGAGGTAAAGGATGTGTGAGCATCTCTCTCTGCTTAGTCTGGGTCAGTCTTCTGCACCACGATATTACTGTTGTCACATATCTAGATTGAATACATTGAAAAGAAAATCTGAGACGAACTTGTGTAATATTAATAAAAAGAATGAAAAAATCATTAAGACAATTTTGGGGAAAAGGATAAAGAAATTTTAAAGTGAGTTATTTACTGGATAATTTTCTAAATCATTTTTTGGAATTGGTTAAGGCAAGTTTTTCTCATTCAAGAATAAAATTATTACTCATATTCATGTTTAACAAAAATGAGATTTAAGAGTGAGAACAAAGGCAATGCATGTATTTAAGTCAAAGTTCAAGTTTAAAGGTCCAAATTCTCCTTTTAGCTTTTCAGAGTAAAATGAGCTTGACTTTTTATCATGAAAATGCCTTTATCCATCAGACTCAGTGGGAAAACTTGCTTTCTAAAATTTAAAACAGAAAACAGACATTAATGATGAATTTACCCCATGTCCTGCCCCTTCCCCACCTATATTTCTACATAAGTAACAACTAAATAGACAAAACAAGCACAAGTTTAATAAAATAATCTGAAGTGATCTGCTGAAACAAATACTAATATCTGTAAAGATATTTTTGATGCAAATTATTTTAACTAGAAATGAGCCTTGGAACACTGAGACCAAAGTGCAATAAATCCCAACAGAAAAATCAAGAGGTTAAAAAGGGATTTCTTGTGTGAATACCTTCAACTCAAGTCACTAAAATAGCAAAAACATCACAAGTACAACGATTATAACAAAATACATAAACCAAAGGAGAAAGAGCATCTTCATATAAAGCTGACAAGAGTCTTCTCCATTTTTGGAATAACCAGCAAGTATATTTTTTTCCTCAGTTTATGGAAGTACATAAATCTTCATCTGTGGTTACAAATCTTATTTCAAATTGGTTAGGATTAATTAACTGGTCACACAGCTAACCACAGATTAACTTCAACAACAAGACTGTTCTCTCAATAACAATCATTTTGAAAAATCACTTGAATACAAATGGAAATGAGTTATGAAAAATGCCAATCTAAATGTAAACATTGAAAATCTACTGAAATTTATTCTCTAAATGTAGAAAAGAAAAAAAAAGTAATATATAAGGTCTACATGTTTCCTCCCTGTCAATTAACATGAAAATAATTTTATAAATTGCATTTTAGTACCTTTCATATGGTCCAGTGTGCTCAATCTGAATTAACTGATCTTGTCCATCAGGAAAAGTTAACTTACACCACCCTAAATTGAGGCCTCGATTTACCTTAAGAAGAAAGGAGGAATAATAAGTTTTATCAATCTAAAACTGAAAAAAAAAAAAAACAACCAAATCCCTCTTTTGTCTCAATTAAAAAAAAACAACTAAAATTTACTTCAATTATTTAAAGTTATATTTCATATGGGATATGGGTAATATTTAATCACCACTTTTATAGATAATCAAAAGAACAAAAATCGTAGTCTCTCCCTTTGTAATAAACGACTTTTATAGAAATGACTATCTGCCATATCTTTCTGATTTTTGTCAGGAAATCCAATGGGATCAATAAATTAAGTACCACACTTTTTCCAGAGATAAAAACCAGATATTTATGTCAAGTATATTCACCTGTTTCATTTCAATTAAAGAGCCCAAATTCCAATTTAGAGTGAGCGTAATGCCATCTAAAAAGACAGCATGTACCACATCATCAGAGTATGCCAGAAATCTTCCCACGCTGGGTATGAATGATTCTTTCAAAAGTACGGGCACTATATTGCTGTCACTCATCCCAGGTGCCTAAAAACAATAAAAGTAGGAGGAAATAGTGATTCATTAATAAGATTTAAATGATTAATGAGCACTGACACAACTTCAGTTTATTATTTAAAAATTGATTATAGAGCACTTAAGTATGTTTAAACTTTTCCAGAATTGAAAACCATAGTAGTCTGTCACAGGCAGATTAAATTCCAATAGCTTTGGAAATTCACTGTTTGGTGAGAGGTGAATTTGGAAGTACAGTATTGTACTACCATGGTATAATGACTGTTTTTACATACTTCAGATCCAGTCTACTCTGCCCCCTCATTCATCAAGAAAAAAGAAGCAAAAAATATATATAGAATAACAGTATAACAAAAAAGCCTATCTTAAAAGTCAGGCTTTTAAAAGTGGCTTATCTAGTAAGTGAACTTTTTCTGAATAAGCCAATAATAATAGTTATTACTATTTGTCACAAGAATTTTTCATATAACTTAAAGTAATTTGAACTCAGATGCAAAAAAACAATTTAGAAAACCTTATTTTTACTGACCATAGATTTGGGGTATCCAGAGAAGGAGAGGGGGAGGGGAGGTAAAGGGAGGGTGGGAAAGCAAGGGGTGGGTAAGATTACAATGGACTGTGGAGGAGGGCAATGGGTGTTTTGGTGGTGGAAAACTATGGAGATCACACTTGAGGGGAGAAATTCTATATTCTGGCAGGGAGGGGGAAACAAGGATTTAAAATAATGTTATTAATAAAACAATTAATTAAAAAACTTAAATATTGTATCAATTGAAAAAATATACCAAAATGTTTATTAAAACTATTTTATGGCAGCAAACAACTTAAGGAAACTAAAGTTATACCCATTAAAAAATTAAAAATATTGCTTTTGAAGTAACTTTAAAATACCATTTTCCAGCAACATATATGATAGTTATGGCTTAAAGAAAGTCTCATCTTGGCACAATGTTGAAGAATTCTGTAAAGACAAAAAACACTACTTACACATTTGCAAATAATAGCACTTTTCAATAGCAAACTATTCTCAACACCATGTGTCATTGAAGGCAAGTAACTCACTTCCACTAAACTATGTTTGACCTCTTTTCTTCCAGAAATCTTCAAGTCACTAAAGGGTTCCCTCTTTTGTGCTTTTCTTATCCAGTTAAGGTTATTCCTCTAGTTTTTAGCAATAAGATGTCTCCAAATAGAATTTCCATTTGCTCTTTCTAAGCAGCTGATAGATTCACAATACAATCTACTTTCTCCACTTAGAAGAATCAAAAAAAAAAGAAAAATAGGAGCCAAACTGTACTTCATCTTCAGTACTGATTCTCAGAAATCTTTAATACTCTGAGGATCACAAATAGGAAAATTTTTGCTTTATCATCCAATCCTCAATTCCAGTGGAAAATAGTAACACTACAGTTAAACAGAGAACAGGCACTTACTTCCTACAAGCACTTGTTCAATATGTATATATCCCTCCATTTAACTTTAAAATGTCAAAGCTTGAAGTACTTTCATTATGATACAGTGGTTACTTTACTTTATAAATGAAGACAGAAGAGTTGACAGATTTTATCAGATATATTCCATTGCATCTACCAATTCTTAATCTCACTAGGAAACACCAGAAAATGTACCAAGGTTCTCAAATATATAACACTTGATTCAGCTGAATGTGAGGAACTTACTTGGTTGCCTGTTTAATTACAGAAGACACAGAGAAGAGACTTCCTGGTCTATCTGGAGGAAGGTTACTTACTGAATAAGTTTTCTCTTGTTTCTGAAAATAAGTTCAAAATGAAAAATCTCATTAGTAATGAATTTTGGCCATTACTATATACTTAGCTCTCTTTTTTTTTTTCTTAAAATGTTTTTACATCGTGACAAAGTAAGCCAGTTAACTTAAAGTCCACAGGAGTCATTAAAAGTATTTCATGATGCTTTTCCAATTTTCCAACCCACTCAGAAGTTATAGTCTAATAGTCCCTAACTCACTGCCTAATTAAATCTTGTCTATACTTAAATCAGCATGGTTTTACATATATGATGTTTTATCTGTAGGTAAGAATTATCAGTGCCTATTTTTTTTAAATGAGTAAACTGTGGCTTGGGAGTCAAGATGTAGAAGAGAAGCCTGATCTGATCCATAAGACAATACAGCTCATACTTCACCACCAGTGAGAGAAAATGGGTTTTAAAGTTAGATATGGATTCAAATTTGCCAGATAAGTCTCTAGCAAAATATCTATCTTATTACATTAGATAATCTGGTAATACTAAATCTGATTAAATTTTTCATGTTGTATCCCCTCTTTTCACGAATAGAGCAATCTTGTTCAATTTTCTAGTTGTATAAAAAGACACAGGAGTTGGTATTTAAAGTATGTAAAAAATTATGGTAGGAGAAAAGTGTTTTTCAAGGTACAAGTATTAATTCAAAGAAGTATACTGATTCAAAGTAATATTGCTGGTTTCACTGATTCCTATAGATAAATTCTATGACAGAAAAAATTTAGCTTCTGATTTAAACACAAATTGCTTAGGATAACTATATGTAGGATGAGAATACAAAAAAAAAATGAGAATATAAAAAAAAAAAAGTGATTGATAATTGCTGTTCCAGTGTTTGCAGTATTAATTCTCCAGACTGGGGAGTAGAAGCAGCAAGCAATATTATATACAGAACAAATTTTCCATACATATTCAGAATTATTTAGAAACCACTCTATATGCCAAGAATCTTCTTGAGCTGAAGCCTTACTGTCAGCTTACCTCTTCTGATCCTCCTTGAGTGGAATAATATGTAAAATATTTTCCCAAATAAGTTCCTTCTGATTTGAAAATAGAACCATCTCCAGGAAGAATCTCTATTGAGTTCACATTTTTATGAGTAAGTCTAAGGAAGAGACATACTCATTAAAAACATTTTTCAATTGTATTTAAAACCCTCATGAAGGTGACATTTTTTAAAAGTAAGAAAGTATGGTCTTTTGTCTATCCAGTAGAATAGGTAATTTCATACTCTGTGCCCCAACCAGTTAAAATAATTTTTTTGTTGGTTTGCAAAAGATAAACAGAATACACAGAAGCGGTTACTGTATCTATGTCAATAATAAATCTCAAGTTGTCAACAAAGCTCTGGAAGTCAGGTATCACCCTGGTATTGTCAATGCCAATCACAGTGGCTAGCACATAATAGTCACAAGGCAATGCCCAATGCACAAGAGTTAAATACAAACCCTAGAATCTGAAGAAAGGATTATTACTCACTAATGAAACTAGCAGAATTGATGCCTAACAGATGTGAGTACCCATGTATAAAGGGAGCCGTCCCTAAGACAAGGTGATTGACTGACCTGGCGCAGTCAAGTGTAACTGAGATATTGGGTAGGTAACAAAAAAACTTACGTCAACTGCACTGTAACATACAAAGAATGTGGTCAGAAGGGAGTGGGTCTTCATACAATAAAAGGAAAACCCAAACAACAAAAATTTTGCAGTGTTCTAGCATTATTTACAAAAGTGACACTCAATCTATCAAATACTGCATGTCAGGCACTAGTAAGGCGGACGCCATGGAGCAATTCAGTGGAATAGTGCAGACACAGAGCTGCAGTATTTGCTGCATGAATGAAGGCCAAAGTCTCCCTTATGCTACCTTCCAGTCTAATCCCGTGCTCAACAGGCCACTCTGAGACTTCATCCCCCGATCCTTGGAAAGGGTGTTCTAAACAACTCATGGGGGTATGTCATTCACTAACAAAACTAATCCCTCAATGGCTTTGGAGGTGTCACATGAATCTTGTGAACATGGTTAATGTGAAGTAGTCACAAATGCTTTTGTATGCTAAAAAAATTAGGCTCGAGACCTACAAAACTCAGGACTAAACCAAGGAGAACAGGGGTCCAGGTAAAACTGCCAGTGGGAGTCTCTCTGAAAACCCACTCCCATCCCCACCATGACATGGCTACGTACTCCTATCTAACACAAGTGTCTTACCTGTATGTAATGCCTTTGTACCAAACCACTTTCACTAGTTCAGGGTAGGAATATTCTTCTTCATCAGACTGCCTCTGTGAAAATGAGTCACAAAAATCCCACCTGTGAAGGAAAAGGTACAAGTTACTGATTCAGGTTGCTCAACATACTTACCCATAGAAGTCAACAAAGTATTACTATGACAAAATGTATTTCCTGCCCAACTCACTAGACTAACAAAAAGTGGAAATTAATATGCAATTGTATTAATAAAATTTTAAACTAATCTTTTTCAATCTTTTATCATTGACATTCGGTACAAATGCTTAAGTTACCAGTTTTACTAACCTTTAAAATTTAAGATTCAAACAAATATCTACGGAAATATCTGTGGTGGGCCAGGCACTGTGCTATATAACACTGAGAATATGACACCCCAAAAAGCAGAGGTGGTTCCTGCCCTCAATGAGGTCCCTATCTAGCAGGGAAATTAAATAGTAAGCACTGAATATAAAGAAAGAATTAAGTGCTATGGGGTTTTATGAGAACGTAACCCCTGTCCCGAAACTTCAGGATATCCAACCTAAGGAAGAAAGTCTCATACGGAATGTGCTCATGTGAAGTGAACACAAATTAGCTGAGCTGAGCGAGAGCAAGGGAGTGTTGATGGTGAGACAACAATGCAGAAGTGAATGAGTTAAAGCTTGAGCAAGCATGAGTTTAGCAAGAGTACAGAAAACAAGGGAGAGAAGAGAAAGAACAGTGAGGGGATAGGGGATTACAGAGACAGATTACAGATAATGGGAGGCCTCTTATACTTAAGAGAGATTTCAATCTAAGGTCAATAGAAGGTTAATGAAAATTTTTCATTTCGAAGTATGAATCTTTTTATGATTATTTATAACACTGGAATTTCTAGTTTTAACTGTGTTATCATGACAAGCCTAAAAATCATTCCCATATTTTAAGTATGTTCTCAGAGATTACATGGGTTCAAATCCCAATTAAGTACAAGAAGTGTGATTCTGCCCGGTTATTAGCATTTGTGTCTCAAGTCCTCTACAGAATGGGGACAACAGCTCACTTACTTGATGGGGTTGATACTGGATTGAGCCAGTAAGTACAACTGTGCCCAGCACACAGCAAGCGTTTTCTGTTACCATTATTGTTAAGGCCACACTCCTTTCACAAGGTGCATGTAAAGGCCGTAACTCTTAGGTTACTCATCTTTTAGTGGAGGTAAAAGTCACTATGTAACCTATTTGCCCCTTTTCAACATGGACATGATGACAGTGAGCCCTTGACAAGTGGCCTCTCGCTAGGTTCATCCACTTGCCAGAACTGTGCTCAGCAGCCGTGGTGACTGCTCCACTGAGGGGCTGATTTGTCTCTGCTCATGCCCAGAACTGGCCATCATTTATCACATGTTGATAATTTTTTTTGCAGTGAGCTTGACCTTTAATGGACTGTAAACAAGTATTCAGGGATGTCTTCGTCATCTCTATAGTCACCGTGTTTAATTAAGTATGTAGCACATAGTCAGCCTTCCACAAATGTACAATAAATGGATACAAAAATCAGAACCAAAAACAACACATTTGTTAGGAAAATAATTTACTATCAGTTATCAGAGAAAGTTCTGGATCTACAGAATGATCTTGACTTCTAATAGAGATCAAATTATTTAGAAAGAAATATTCTTCTAAAAGGGCTGGCTCTCACAAAAGCTTTCTAACAAAGAAGTCATCCTTATATTCATTACCTGTGCAGGTGTGGGGCAGGGCAGCTGAGTAACAGGGCATTAGGAAGAACAGAAATTGCTTTTCCTCTTTCTTCTGAAATCTCAGAAGTTACAATGCTAGTTTGGGTGGTATCTGCATCACTTCTTGACATACTGCTGATTTTATGATGAAAACGAAGTGCTAAAGACAAAGGGTATTTCCATTGCTCTGGGCAGGAGGCCACAGACCAGTGCTGCTTTACCCACGTGTACACACATGTGGATTTCATACCAGGTGAAGGCAGCTCCTTCCTCCCTTCAGTTCCAGTTACACAGCTCTTCTCAAAAGGTTCTCTGGATTTCACAATCTGGCCATAAAGCTCATTTTCTTTATTCTCCAGTTTCTGTCCCGATAAATGGCCGTATGTGTAGATTTTACCTCCTTTTTCAACTAGCTTGTCCTTTCTGGCTTGATTATTTTTTTTTGACAATACATTAGTTGAGTCTGGCTTCTGGCTTACTTTACACAAAAAATGTACTGTGAATTCATGCTGCGATTTGGGCACACAAAGGTATGCATGACCATCTAAAGATGACACTGTCACAGATGACTCCTGCACAGAGATCATGCCATCATCTGCATCAGGACTGGGCCACGTCACATCTGAGATGTCAATGAAGATACGCTGAAAAAAAAAAGTCCAATTTTCCACATATTTGAAATTTGATATTGTGTAAGAAAGCATCATAAAGTTTTATTTGTGTCTTACTACCCAGAGAGAATGGAAAATGGAGATACAAAGGTCAGTCAATATACAGTTTTCACAGAATGTATGTGAAGAATATCTCTTAGAGGGTCCTCAATGGTGGTGCAACAGGTTAGGACGCAGCACTGCAAGCTGGCTGCAGTTGCTTCAGTGTGAGGTATCGGAGGTGACCAACATGGTGCAGCAGACCTCTCCTGTCTCACCCACTGCCCCCCTCATCAATGTATTTCATCGATCTACCTGCTCTGCTCCCCACTCTGTCTCTGGTGAATCCTCTCACATTCTTGCACCTCTGGCCTATACCCCAGTTCTGTATGCATAAATAATTTTTTTTTTTTAAAAAGTATCTCTTAGAAAACACATACAGAAAAGAAAAAAAAATCCTGATTATATTTAGTGTTAAATGTATTTTGATTTAAAATGCACAAAACAGGGGCCTCCCTGGTGGCACAGGGGTTAAAATCTCCTGCTATCAAGATAGCCATAGCTACCGCAGCATGAGTTCCATCCCTGGCAGGGGAGGTGATCCACATGGCGCAGCAGACCTCTGCTGTCTTACCCACTGCTCCCCTCAGCAGTGTATTTCAGTCAATCTGCCTGTTCTGCTCCCCACTCTGTCTCTGGTGAGTCCTCTCACCACCTGGCACACTACACCAAAATAAATTCCTACTGGTTCAAGAGTTTCCTTTTCATCTTTTTTTTTTTTTAAAGATGTATTTTTATTAAATGAACCCTATTATCAATGTAAGGAAGGGGAGAATAAGGGGCACACCTCTTGCTATAAGGAAATGGGGAGACAGGAGAAGGGTAAACCCCAAAAGGATGGGTGGAAAGGGAATATAATTAAAGCAACAAAATATCCTCTGTAAAAAGTTGGGTCAGAGTCTCTGCAATCCACAACACCAGAGATAAAAGCAGAGATAGCCTCAGTGGAGGTTCTTCAGTTAGGTGTTCAAAAGAAGGGAAATGACAGCTTGAGAGTTATGTTTTAGGGGTCCTCCCCATCCCCAAAGGGGATCTGAGAGGTCTGGTGCAGCAGACCTCTCCTGTCTCTGGCTGTTCCCCTCAGCAGTGTACTTTGACAATCTGCCTGTTCTGTTCCCCCACTCACCCAACCCCCTACCCCCTCCACCTCTGTCCCATACCCCAGTTCTTGTATGCATAAATAAACCTTTTTTTAAAAAAGTTACATTTTAAATAATGAATTACTCAAAGATAAACTGATTCTGATCAGTAGGAAATGGATTTTAAACACAATAGCACCTGTTGCATCTTCTCATAAAACTGCAGGTTTCATCAGTTTAGTCTTACCAATGATTAAATATTTGAACTTCTACCTATGTAAACCCTTAAATTTACAAAAATTATTGTAAGAAAGCCTCTTATATTTAGTGGTAGCACCATACCGATGCTATGTCTACAGATATTAGGACACCAGGATTAAGGGCAGTATTCACTGAAGTCAAACATGTTTTGTAGGATGGTCAGGTAAGAAAGTTCGCTCCCAAAATTAGGCTACCTGTAATCTTGCTGTGGCATTAACAGCAAGCTGGCAGCTTCAAATGAAGAGTTGCTTAAAGGACACAGAGGAAAATAGCCTTGTAGACTGAGTTGCAGCTTACAATTTCTCATGACTTCTTTGCCATGAGACAGTGTAACAGAAAATTACTCAGAAGGCAGACAAGCATCATAAAGGAAGCAGAAAGGTGGTAAAAAGACAGTCTTTAGAGTCATCCAGACTTGGGATACATGCTCACTTTGTTGCCTAGAAAATTTCTTTGGACATGAAGGGAACTCTCTCAAGGAGCTGAAATCTAGTCAGTGCCTTTCTGATAGGTCCAAAGGCAGCAGGTACCCCTGCCTAAATAGCTTTAATAGTTGCAGTCCTTAACACATAGTACACCCTTAAAAATTGGTGGCTCTTCATTCTAAAAGTTCAACATGGAAATAAGCAAAAGATTCAATTTGTATACTGATAATGACACATCTCTGCTACACATTAACACAAATAACTACACATAAGCTATTAAAAATGGTCATGTAAATTCTTATTTTTGATACCACTTAATCAAAAAGTCACCAATCTGAAAAATTCTGAATATAATCCTCAGTTACAAAGAGTAAGACTGGGAGATGGACTATGTAGCTTTTCTGTTTCTATCAATACACAAAATATCAAAACTCCTTAGTCTGATGAAATATATAGGCCTGTATATATTCTATAATATTGTGTTTACATCCAAGTGCTATGAAGAAAAAATACCAAATATTAAACTGTTTCTAGTTATTTCTCAAGTATCACTTATAAAAATGAGATTTAAGAAATTACCTTTTTCCTGTCAGAAGGTATGAAGCTTTCAGATAAAAAAGGATAAATAGCAGAAGAATTTCGAAAATCTAAGGCTCGCTGTAAATGCTCCTATGAAAAGAAATTAAGAAGTCAACTCAAAAAAATGATTGACAACCTGACATACTACTTAATTTTCACATTCTTACCAATTCAACAGTATTTTTGTATTAACAAAAGCAGTTTTGTGTTATTTTCACTTACTCGGTAAGTGCTAATAACAAAGTGTGTTCTTTGACGAATTCTTTCCGGTTGTTCTAAAGGATGTGCTGAAACAGGAGGTGCCTTTTCAAATAAAAATTCAGAGCCACAGGGAGAAATCTGCAACCTGGAACCATCAATATATTGTACTTGCACTGAATCATCTTCATAAAGTATCATTTGCACTTCAGTCTCCATTATGGTTAATGTGGATAGATTCCCTCCAAGGTGAAGACTGAAGGAAATAGGAAATACAGTACAACAAATATAAGTTCTATCAGAATTAATGGATGCAGCTTCTAAGAATACTTGCAGAATATATTATTGCCAATACATTTATTTTTGTTAGAGGAAAATGATTGCCTTACTATAGGCACTTAAAGTGATTTGAAATTAACATTCTTAACAGAATGCTTGATGAACCCCAGAGCCCCAGAGCTTATTCTATTGTGGAAACACAAGCCTACAGGGGAAGATAGCTCACTAAGTTATAAGTGCCTTTATAATCTGAGGAGCTTAACTTCTGAGTCTGAATTCTAAAAATGACATATTCAGTATCTCATTTCAAATAAGATCTATCACTCTGCCTACAGCCCAACATCTGCCTTAGAATAAAAATCAAATTCCTAACCATGGCCTCCAAAGGTCATTTAATCTGACCCCAGCTACCAGTCCAAATTGCATCTCCTAACTCTGTCCTTGTTCAGGATATTTTAGCTACAGCACAGTATGTGTATGTGTGCTTTAAACAAGCTGTTTCGCAGCTCTGAAGCTCTGCACTGTTCATTCAGCATGTCCCTTCCATGTCCTTTGGCCGGATCTCTGACATCAGTAAGATTTCAGCAGAAATATTATTTCCTCAGAAGTCTGACTTGACTAGCTTGACTCAGTCATCTTCCAAAATTTTTGTCCATTTTCATGTTTTTCTTCATAGCATCTATTGCTATGAAAATTGATTCTATTTGTCTTTTCCCACTGGACTATAGAGTCTGTCTTATTCATAGTGTATTCCTGGCATCTAAAACACTTAGCAAATACAAGGGTGTAATAAATAGTTATTTACTGATAATACAGTTAGGTGAATTTCTTAATTCTTGATGCCACCGAATTTGATATTTGAGTTTATGGCAATTTTTAGCAAAAAAAAAGTTAGTAATATTTGACTTCTTACAGTTTTCCTCCACACACTGTTGGTATTTCTATTTCAGGCCACAACACCGTACAACCATCTGGAAATCTTTTCTTTTTCTACTTTTTCCAATTCATTTCTAGTATTCCTGTTATAAGTGATTTCTACAACCTAAGCCATATAAATCACATTACATTGCTTGACTACACGTTAAATGGCAACAGTACATGCATTTATATTGCAGATATATATACATATATATGTATATGTACATATACACCACGTGTGTATTAATACACACGTCAGCTGCCTACTTAACTATCTCAGAACATTAAGACATGCAAATGCAGCCACACAGTTGCAGTTATTTCTTATACCAATTGTGAAAAGGTGTTTATCTTTGGACAAGACTTTTTTTTTTTTTCAACAGGTTACGGAGGCATTATTGTTTATTTAGGTAAAGAGTACACAGAAGAATGTCTAACGTTCCTGGCATTTCATCAGCTATAATTCAGCTTCAATCCATGTTTGCAGGCTCATCTCTACTACTTTGTGTTTTCGTCACCCAATAAGTTTCGTCAAAATAACGATCAAAAAGCCGCAAGTCTGTTCTTGAGATCACTGGGAACCCCGATTTTTTCAAAATGCTCTATGTAGTTATAGAAAGTCTCACCGAAACCGTGGCCACCGACGTCTTTGACTCACTCACACAGCAGTTCTGAGTTGAAAATCATGAAAAGGAGGTCTATCAACGGCTCCTGGACTTTAATTTGCAAAATGCTGAAAGCTGTAGTTCATTCGCCTGCCCACGACTCCTGGAGAGATACTGCTTGAATCTGCCAACTCACCAACAGCTACTGCTTCTTAATGAATGAAAACAATCCTAATGAAGAACAATTTGCTATGGCTGAGACGTCCGTCAAGTTTGAGCAGCCAGGGAGCCGTGGCAGCGCCCATTAGGACGCAGAAGAATAGGCACAGGGAAAACAGCCGCGTTCAAATCTTCCCGCACCCAGGGAAGCGGACTTCCCTCCGCCAGAACCGACAGGAAGTCCCGCCCGGAGAGCGCCCACTGCTCTGAGGGCCACGCCCCGGAGTGCACCCTGAGAGGGGAGGGACCGGAAGTAGGGTAGGCTGGTGTTCTAGTCGGAAACTGATTCACTCTGCTCGGGTCTTCTGTTTCCACCCTGGGAAGCAAACGGACCTATTGGTGGCAAAGCCTGTGTAGGTCAGAATTCTGACGGCCCAGACAAGAACTAATCCACGATGACTACAGTGGCGTGATGCTTATTCAAGTAACATAAACAGTAGTTTTACCTCCATAAATCTGTTTAAAAAAAACTTGAGCAAAGAGGCCTCCCTGTTGGTGCAAGTGTGTAAGTCTCAGCACTGTCAAGCTATCTGCAGACAGCTGCAGCACTCCACTGCAGCACAAGTTTGATCCCCAGCCAGGGAGCTGACCCACATGGTGTAGCAGATCTCTCCTGTCTCACCTTTCAGCTCTGCTCAGCATTGTCGTTCAGTAGTTCCACCTGTTCTGCTCCTCTTTTCTGGTGAAGCCTCTCACTCTCCCAT